AACAGGGAGCAAACCCGAAAGGACTGAGAGAATTTCAGAAGAAGGAGCAAACCGCCCCAAAAACAAAATAGAGAGTTTCGAAAGAGACGATAGAATCTGAATTCAAGGAGCAAGCGTCTCGAACGAGACTAGAGAATTTCGAGAGAGACCAGAGAAGTTGAATGCAAGGAGCAGACCGCTCGAAAGGAACTAGAGAGTTTCAGGACAAGGAGCAAGCCGTTCGAAAGAGGCTAGATAATTTCCAGAGAGACTAGAAAGTTGGCAAACCGCTCGCAAGGAACTAGAGAAATTCAGCAGAATGAGCAAACCGCTCGCAAGAGACTAGAGAATCTGAAAACAAGGAGCAAACCGCTCGAAAAGAACTGGAGATTTTCAGAACAAAGAGCAAACCGCTCTAGAGAAAGTATAGAATTTCGAAAGAAACTAGAGAGTTTGAAAACAAGCAGCAAACCACTCAAAAGGAACTAAAGAATTTCAGAAGAAGGAGCAAACCGCCCGAAAGAGACTAGAGAATTCGATAGAGAATTAGAGAAATTGAGAACCAGGAGCAAACCGCTCGAAAGCAACTAGAGAATTTCAGAAGCAGGAGCAAACCGCTCGAAAGAGACTCGAGAATGTCGAACAGAAAGACTAGGGAAGCGGAAAACAAGGAGCAAACCGCTCGAAAGGAACTAGAAAGTTTCAGAAGAAGGAACGAACCGCTCAAAAGAGACTAGAGAATGTCGAAAGAGATTAGAGAGTTTGACTGCACGGAGCAAACCGCTCGAAAGGAATTAGAGAATTTCAGAACAAGGAGCAACCTGCTCGAACGGAACTAGAGTTAGAGAGTTTCAGAAGAAAGGGGCAATCCGCTCGAAGAGTTTCGGCAGAGATTAGAGAATGATATAACAGGGAGCAAACCGCTCGAGAGAGACTAGAGAATCTCAGAACAAGGAGCAACCCGCTCGACAAGGTTTCAGAAAGTGTCAGAAAAAAGAACAAACCGCTCGAAAGAGACCAGAGAGTTTGAAAACAAGGAGCAAACCGCTCGAAACGAACCAGAGAGATTCATAACAAGGAGCAAAACACTCGAAAGAGATTCGAGAATGTCGAAAAAGACTAGAGGAGTGGAAATCAAGGAGCAAACCGCTCGAAAGGAACTAGAGAATTTCAGAACAAGGAGCAAACCGTTCGAAGGAGACCTCAGAATTTCGACGAAAGAGACTAGAGAAATTGAAAACAAGGAGCAAACCGCTCGAAAGGACTCTGGAAGAAGGAGCAAACCGCCCGAAAGTGACTAGAGAATTTCGAAAGAGACTAGAGTAGTTGAAGACGAGGAGCAAACCGCTCGAAAGGAATTGGAGAATTTCAGAACCAGGAGCAACCCGCTCGAAAGGAGCTAGAGAATTTCAGAACAAGGAGCAGACCGCTCGAAGGAGACTAGAGAATTCCGAAAGAGACTAGATAATTCAGATCAAGGAGCAAACCGCTCGAAAAGAACTAGGGAGATGCAGAACAAGGAGCAAGCCGTTCGAGAGAGACTAGAGAATCTGAAAGCAAGGCGCAAACTGCTCGAACGGAACTAAAGGTTTTCAGAAGAAGGAGCAAACCGCTCGAAAGAGATTAGAGAATTTCGAAAGAGACTAGAGAATTTGGAAACCAAGGAGCAAGCCGCTCGAAAGGAATTAGAGAATTTCAGAACAAAGAGCAAACCGTGCCTAGAGAATTTCGAAAGAGACACGAGAATCTCAAAACAAGGGGCAAACTTCTCGGAAGGGAATAAAGAACTTCGGAAGAAGGAGCAATCCGCTCGAAAGAGACCAGAGAATCTCGGAAGAGACTAGAGAATTTGCAAACAAGGAGCAAGCCGCTCGAAAGGAACTTGAGAAAATCAGAAGAAGGAGCGAACCGCTCGAAAGAGACTAGAGAATATCGAAAGAGACTAGAGAATGTGAGAGCAAGGGCAAGCCGCTCGAAAGGAACTAGAGAATTTCAGAAGAAGGAGCAAAACGCTCGAAGAAATTAGAGAATTTCAGAACAAGGANNACTTTCGAAAGCGACTAGAGAAATTGAATTTCAGCACAAGGAGCAAACCGCTCGAGAGAGACTAGAGAATTTTGAAAGAGACTAGGGCATTTGAAAGCAAGGAGCAAACCGCCGGAAAGGAACTAGAGAGTTTCAGGAGAAGGAGCAAGCCGCTCGAAAGAGACTAGAGAATTTGCAACAAAAGGAGCAAACCGCTCGAAAGGAACTACAGAGGTAGAACAAGGAGCAACCCGCCCGAAAGAGGCTGGATTTTTTCGACAGAGACTAGAGAAACTGGAAACAAGGAGAAAGCCGCTCGAAAGGAACTAGAGAATTTCAGAGCAAGGGGCAAACCGCTCGAACGAGACCAGAGAAATTCGAAAGAGAGTAGGGGAGCGGAAAACAAGGAGCAAACCGCTCGAAAGGATTTAGAGAGGTTCAGAAAAGGAGCAAACTGCTCGAAAGGCAAAGCGACTAGAGAAGTGGAAAACAAGGGGCAAACTGCTCGAAAAGAACTAGAGCAACTAGAGAGTTTCAGAAGAAAGGAGCAAGCCTCTCGAAAAGAGACTAGGGAAAGAGACTAGAGACTTTCGAAAGCGAGTTGAGAAGTCGAAAACAATTAGCAAACAGCTCGACAAGAACTAGAGATTCTCAGAAGAAACAAGCAGCTCGACAGAGACTAGAGACTGTCGAAAGAGAATAGAGAGTTTGAAAACAAGAAGCAAACCGTTACCACTCGAAGCGAACTACATAATTTCAGAAGAAGTAGCAAACCGCAAGAAGGAGACCAGAGATATTTAGGCAAAAGAACAAACCGCTCGAAACGGACGGATAAAGGAGCAAACCGCTCGGAGAAGACAGAAGATATTGAAACAAAGAAGCAAACCGCTCAAAAGGGGTTACGGAAACTTAGATCAAGGAGCAAACCGCTCGAAAGAGATTAGAGAAATTCAGGAAGAGGAGCCAACCGCTCGAAAGAGATTAGCGACTTGCTGTACCAGGCCCTCCTCGCTTAGGTACCGTGATGGGCCTGAAATTAAAAAGCTAATCGACCTCCGAAGGAAACAATCGGGAGCCCAAGCACAGGAGACAGCCCAAAAGATCGTCAAAGCACGCGCCTTGGCGAAGAAATCCTTTTAGATAGAGGCGCAGCTGGGGACTATCATGCTGTCAGTTTCTTTAAACGCACAGTCCACTAAATTTTCCCAAGGGTCGTTCATTATGAGGGCGGGCGGATGGGAGAGGGCTGCGAGGGATCTAAAGCAACAGGAAAAACGATCGAAAGGAACTAGAGAGTTTTAGAAGAAGAAGAAGCAAACCGTTCGAAAGAGACTAAAACAAGGAGCAAACCGTTCTAAAGGAACTAGAGAGTTTCAGAAGCACAGGCAAAGCGTTCGAAGGACACTAGTGAATTTCGCAAGAGACTAGAGAAGTTGAGCAAACCGTTCGAAAGGAGCTAGAGAGTTTCAGAACAAGGAACAACCCGCACAAAAGAGGCTACAAAATTTCGAAAAAGACTAGAGGAGTGGAAATCAAGGAGCAAACCGCTCGAAAAGAATTAGAGAATTTCAGAACCAGGAGCAAACCGTTCGAAAGAGACTAGAGAGTTTGAAAACAAGGAGCAAACCGCTCGAAAAGAACTAGATAGATTCAGAACAAGGAACAAACGGCTCGAAAGAGGCTAGAGAATTTCGAAAGAGAACAGCGAGAACAGCGAAATTGTAAACAAGGAGCAAACCGCTCTTCCAGGGTTCCGTCTTAGCAGGGCTTGTTCTATTTGGATTCGACAAGGTTTAAGGTTTCCTCAGAGCATTCAAATTTATCGTATTTACGTATGTAAACAAATCTTAGTCGATTGCTTACGGCTTAAATTCGGATTTTAATCCCTAAGCGATAGGCACAAATTCGAATTTAAATCCTTCCCGTGGCACTCGACTGGTGGCCGATGCTTGGTTCAGAGGTTTAAATTCGAATTTAAGCCGTCTGGATGCAATGTTTACGCCCCGCCCGGGAGGGGAATAAATTTGAATTTAATCCTTTTCTAAATTCGAAATCCTGCCTCACCCGCACACGCTGCAGTCTGGTTTCCACACACAGCATCACTTGAATTCCCGATAGTTCCGCCCCGCCCCTTCAAACTCAAACCCAGTCGCCAATGCAGATACAGTATTGAACCAGGCCCGTCAGTCGACTGAAGCGAAAACAAGTCGTCGGCAGGAGATGCCAGCGCCCCGAGGTCTGCGGAAGAAGCCGATCCCGCTCCCTGGCGCGACTGCGAGGCTGGCATGCAAGTGTACGCATGTACCCAAGATGTATCCCCGGAAGAAAAATGCAGATACATAGGTAAACACATGCGGAGCGTTTGCCCGCAAAGTGACGTAACAGAAACTGTGATGGCTTCAAGCCGTGATCTCTATCCGAGTTCAGCGATGTTCTCCCAGTTTGGATTGCTTGCCAGAACTTTTTGATGGTTTCAGGGGGTCAATTAACAGCCGAAGTCTGTGCTTTATTGGTGTGTTTTCAGGACTTGCAAATACTCGCAAGATACTACGTGGTTTCAGCTGGCGTCTGGATACGTGCAGGAGTTTAATGCTGTCAAGGTCCGACTTGGCAACTCGCCGGTGCTGGTGCGTTGTGGGTACTTGCAAGATGTTACCGATGGTTCCGCCTCTCCAGCATCCCCCCGATTTAGTGTCGCTGCGATGTTGCGGGTGTCAGCGCGATGATTTCGGATGATCAGAATCCACCCGGGTGTATGCAAGAGCCTCCGTGCCCAGTAGCAGCAGCTGAGGGCTTCGAGTTGGCGCAAAGCCTGTAACCCCGTGCCAAGATGTGCAAAGGATGTCATTACTTGTATCAAGGCTGTAATGGCCGCACGTGTTGAGCCACTGGGAAGTGAACACTTCAGAGTGTGAACGCTCTGGCGACTAGCGGCTTTCTAGCGCCCAACCGTACAGCAGTGAAGGCGCTAACTATTTTGCTGTGACTGCGGGTAGGACATGTCCCCTGCCATCCTGGAGAGCCCTTGGCCTCGAGATCACAGGCATTGCTTTCTGTTTCAGGTTGGAATGGTCATGCTTCTTCACTTCGGATGATTGAAGTTGAATCTAGTACAGGTTTATTAGGTGAAAGAGCGTCGATGTGCTTTGTCTTCGGCCGTGTGCTGCATAGACCATGGACAGGAATGCGCAAATGGGCGATCGCGGCCTCGCAACTCGGCTTTGCCGATTGTCCTTAGGAGATCTGTTTGTCTCCTCCACATATACTGATACTTACAAACGGACATTTATGACCCGTTAGGACTTGAGGTTAGAGACTGCATTTTTGAGCGGGACAGCGGCATTGCATTGCCCTCTCAGTGCAATCCAACTTACAATCGCATGTTTCATTGCCGGCCAAGGTCTTGACACATCTTTTCCATTTGCTTGACCAGGACTCGGCCCCGGACTGTTCGCAATTTACTCCACTCCAAGGCTGTATATGGGGATGCAATGAAGACATAAATAAAACACCTGTTTTGAAGGGTTCTCCGGTCTATTGTTGAGGCTCCCGCAGACTCGGCCTTTCAACAGTGCAGCTGATAGTTTCAGTGTGTGGAGGACCGGAACCTCCTGCTCGATATCTCAGAGCAGGCGCAGCTGCTGCGCCATGCGCCGGCGGAGCTGGCAGGCCAGTTCCAATCAGGACAAGGAAGTAGTAGTCTTCCATGATGACGCTCACTGCTACCCACAACAAAGATGCGCATGATGGGGTGGAGCTCCGGGTTCAACAAATCAACGACGCGCAGCAACAGCTGCCTGCCGCAGGCTGCCGAAGCTATGTAACTATGACTATGGCTCGTGCCTGCACGATGCAACTTGTTGTCGTGACCCAAAACATGCTCGAATGAGCAACCCAAATGTGCAATCAATTGCATCAACTCCTCCTCCACCCAGATTCGGAAGCGCTCTGAACAGCTGCCAACCTCTCAGGCAACATCCGGAGATGGGAGAGACGGTGGCAGAGGGACCCTGGGTGTTGCAATTTCATTTGCTCTAAAATGATCCCAACCATGGGTTCTAATGGATTTGCAGCCCTCGCTTGGCGTTCAATCTGTCTCGCCGGAAATTTATATCAAAAACATTCCTTATTAATTATGCGATCATGTATATACCTGGAGCCGAGGAGTCAGATGCTGCCGGCAACATCAACTTTTCCATGTTTCTGGCCGCCGTGGAGCACACACAGGCCCTCAGTCTCGGCAAGGTCCTTCGGAGGCTGCGGCTCCAAGTGGCGTCTGGGCGGCAAGCCGATGTTGCGAGATGTAGGAATTCGAGGACCGTCGGCTGCTAAGGTTCAGAATTCTGGTTTTGTTGGCAAGCAACAAGAGCTCACAAGTCACACGAGCTCCACACAGAAAGGCCGCAAGCAAACACCCTGCAACTGCAACATTGCAGCCGCGAGTGGCCGCCGAATCCTGCGACAACGTGCTGCGACAAGAGGATCGTTGGTGGGATTGCTTGCCTGAGAGTTTTGCCTGAGAGTTACAGCGGACACCTGGGCCAGACTTGTAATGTCAAAAACTTCGGCAGATCGAGGAAGCGGATCCGCCCTCGCAAAAGCCGCGGCCTTCCTGGTGGGGCCTTGGTACGTTGCAGCCTCAGCCTGTCCCGGGGCCAATGCTCCTGAATGACGGTCGGTTATTGCTTCGACACCGAAGATTAGTCTTCTGTCGCCGTTGGCCCGCTTTGCAAGCCGCAAGCCTGGAACGCCAGACATGTCTTCGCGGATCGGAGCCAAGGTCCTGGGGAGCGCCCGAGGGTCCGAATCCCGCCTGCTTCTGGGACTGCTCGGACGTCGTTGGGTTTCTGAAAATGTGCTGATGCAGTCAGACCTCCAGGGTACGAGTTTGAGGACGCTCGAATTGGAGAAGTTTAGAGCAGGGGCTAGGGGTGTGCAAACAAACATGGATGTAGACAGTTTGGCGGATAACACTCTCTGACTCAACAGGAATGCTCATCTGTAGTTTCGAATCCACACACGCGTGTGCGTGTGTACATGCATTTCTCTTCCTCTTTCTCTGTTTCCCGAGGTCCACTCACCTGTTCGTTTGTATAGAGAGGAGGTAAAGCCAAACAAGTATATACATGCATGTAATTACATGTACATACACAGCAAAGACAACAGGGACGAGGCGGAACACGGAGGCTTTCGGGAAGCCGAGGGCAGAGGATGCACTGTCGGGCAAGGGAAGGGGGCACGCCTGCCTTTGCCATAAAGCCTGCTTGAAGAAGAAGAAGGGTTAGCCCTTACACCCGTAGCAGCAAGCACGGAAGCATGGGCGACCCGTAACATGCGCTGTACAGGCGTCCGGGCTTGGGTTGAAGTGAGCTTGCCAGGGTTGCGAAGGTCAGCGCACTTATTCAGCATACGGTGCGGGGTTCGAAGTTCAAGGTTCGGAGGTCGAAAGATGGGCTTGAGCAATAGTCCTCCTACCACTCCAATCCACACTGCACTCCCGTACTGTGTTAGCCACTTGTTTCTCCAACATATTTAGCACATTCACATGAATGAGAGAAGCGAGTGCGTACTCCCACAACTCCATGCCCTAAACCCCAAACCCTAAACCTCTACATCAAAGTGTCGCAAGCAGCGAGGCTGGAGCGAGGCCCTTCGAAGCTTGGCTTTGAGAGATATGGCGACGCTGAGCTTCCGTTGAAGGGGTGCTCTCGTAGGGGTGGAGGTTCATGGAGCTCAGGTTTTAGGGCTGCAGCATTCAAGGTTAGGGTTTGGAGAACCACATGTACTTCGTAATGTTGCTCTCGGGACCCCTGTTCTCAGCGGGCTGAAAGGCAGCAACATCTCTATACTCTGCTTCTGGTGCTCTGTAGACAGAGCCGGTGCCTGACAAACTTTGCGAGGTTATGCCGATTGCTGTGACGACAAGTCGAACACTACATGCTGGACCGAAGACTACGACTGGGAACTGTGCTGTGCCTCAGTGAGCGGTAAGTTCGGATCCCACAACACGGCCGAGCGAAGACCCAGGAGAGAGCAATGGCATTTGAGGGTTTCGGCGTAGGGAACAGACGTTTGCGCCCTGCTGCTTCCCTATCTGGATCTGTCCATTGAGTCCGTGAGCTTCGCCTATTAGGCATGATTTGGCCGATGGCCTCTGAAGTAGTCTCACATGGTATACTAGTATACACTCCAGATAGAATTCTGAAGGCGAAGGCAAAAGAAAAGCAAATGACCAGTCTATCGGCGGCAGATCCTCAGATTGCTGGGGACTGTCAAGCACGAGCTCGACTGTGGACGAGCCGTGCTTTCCGAGGACTGTAGGAGTCGTGCGAAATGGGCGCAGCCGAGGCGCGGAGCCCGAGCCCTGGCAGATCTGGGAGACGCCGCCACCGGAGCAGCCCGGAGGCAGCCCCGGCGCTCAAAAGGCGCCCCTCGCGAGCAAAAACCCTGCATGCAACAAACCACCGTGGTCAGGCTGAGGAACGACCACTTCAATCTCTTTTCAGAGGATTTGGTGCTTGATGGATTTTGCGCTCTCGACACAGTGCCCGTGCCGACTGTTTGGTGCAGGGACCTCTGAGCCAGCTCATGTTGGAGGCCGGTTCAGACAAGGCTCAGAATCCAAGATGCAAGTAGTTCCAGTTTGGGCTTTCGGACAGAGAGGGTATGAAGCAAGACGAACGAATTCGAGGAGTGCAACGTGAGCATGCAAAGGTAGATATTCAGATTCAGAGCTGCTCTTGGCGGCTGCAAGTCAATCAGCATGTCGCTCCATCAGGGATCATCGTGCACAGCTGCGCTTGCGCAGCAGAGAGAGATGGAAGGAAAGAGACTGAGAGAGCCCCTCCCACATGTGGATCGAACCGCTGGAATGTTGCGAGCCTTGGGGGTAGGCCGCCTTCAGGGGCGAAAAGAGAACAGGCAGATTCAGAAAGGGTTTGATGCGTTGAAGATTATGACGAGTGTTTCGGGACAGCCCAAGGTTAAAGCGAAGCCTTGTGCTGGTAGTCGCAGTGCCTCGTTGTTCAGACACGGAACCGCAGTTTTATTGTGCTCGCGCGACAAATCGTTGCACATCACTTGCGATTTACGGGTAGTTCTCATGGGGCAGCACTTCAGCGGCGAGACGGGTGCAGCACAGTACACACCGGAAGCCTTTGCGGTGCTGGCACACCACGACCTGTATGCGTCGGGCGAGGCCGTTCGAATCATCGTCATGTCCGACACACACAACACAGTACGGAATGCTGCAGAGGCTGCGCGAGTTCCGACTGGCGATGTCTTTATTCACTGCGGTGACGTCACAGTAGACGGAACAGCCAGAGAAGTTTGCTCCTTTAACGAGTGGCTGGGGCTGCTTCCACACCAGCATCGCATCGTCATAGCTGGAAACCACGACTTGATTCTAGACCCGGAGACATATCATGCCAATGTCGCCATGTCTTCGAAGAAACGGAAAACCGAGCATGCACAGCCAGAAGTCCGGAATGTCTGGAGCCCACCTGAGCTGCCGCGAGTGGACGTAGACCCGCAGAGCCGGCTCCGGGCTCTCGCAGAGTGGCGTGGGCAAGTACGGCAACGCTTGCTCAGCAACGCAACGGTGTATTTAGAGGGCGAAAGGACGACCTTGGCCATCCAACTCGACCGCGGGGACAACACCGGCCGTGAAGTTCGCCTTCACATCGCCGGGGCACCACACACTGACGTGATTGCCGCCAGCTCAATGCGAGCCTTCGCGGTCGACGAAGAGCATCAGCTAGCAGTATTTTGCGGCTGTCTGGATGCTGGTCCACTGGATGTCTTCATCACCCACGGTCCGCCTTATGGCGTCCTTGACAGGTTCCTCGGTGTCCACACAGGCTCGAAAGCACTCGTGCAGGCGCTTTCAAGCAGCAGCAGCTGCGGGCGCGCCCCTTCTTTTCATGTTTTTGGCCATGTCCACAAGCAGAAGGGAATTCAGTTTGGGGCAAAGTTTCCCACCAGTACAACGAAGGCCTGCGATTCTGTGACTGATAGCATTGATGTGCCGACGACATTCGTGAATGCGGCGTCTGTCCTTGGTATCCACCATCGGATACGAGACGACCCGGCTGTTGTCATTGATATACCTATCGCCAACCTCGTCGAACCACCGTGGAAGTCTTAAGCCAAGTTGTGGCTTGTTAGGTATCTGGCAATCAGCACATCCTCGGACCACTTTTCTGCTCACCTGGGCGTGCTCTCGTCGTGAGCTGTCGGCCAGCAAGTACTGTGGCCGCTTCCGTACGTCGTGGTCTTCGAGAGCAACCTTGTCGCGAGTGGACTCGTGCCCTTGCCTGGTTCCTGAACAGTACGGGTATGGTCGGCAGACTTTCTGTGTCACCGCAGCGAGAGACTTGCCCGAGCACAGTGTCCGGAGCTCTGAGAGACACCATGCCTAGCAATGCCTGATATACGAAAAAGCAGGTTTGATTCGGACAGACAGCTTTCTTGCGTCCGTGCCCATTATGCGGACACTCGTGAGATGGTGTTCATCTGCAAAATAGCGGGCTGCAGCCGAGGAACGGCTACTGCCCCATCTACGAAGTGCTTCTGCAGCCGTTGAAGGTTCAGCGGCTGCCGCCCGGCGCAGGGAAAGAGGCAAGGATGGCGGTTTCATCAGACCTCCCAAGTTTGGGGGTATCTGATGTGAGCTGTTAGCCATGGAAGGTGCACGAAGCCCACGCCCCGGCAAAGTCGACAAGAACCCAAGTCATGTGGACTACGGACTTAGAATAGAAGAGCCTAGTAGCTGAGGCTCGAAGTGGGATTGGGCACGCAAATTCCGGGCTCACTGAGCTCCATGGCAGGCCAATGGCCTTGAACCAGGGTTGCTACTATAGTATATTATACTATATATTATATGGTATATTATATAGTATAAATAATATATAGTAAATTATATAGTATATCATGGTATTCATGTTTGCATTCAATTCGGGGAGGGTCTTCGGCGAGGCCTGGGGCCCGGTTTCCGGCCCGGCGGATCCCTGCGAGCCTGGAGGGACTACCTTCCCCAGGCCGCTGCGCGAGATTTTGCTGCAGGGCTTCCGTCAGTGCTTGTCCACCGGTGGCTTTTGGGTTTCAGGCCGGGTTGGCAGAACCACTGCCCCTAACTTTGGAGGATTGCACCAGTCCGTGCATGCCGAGCCTGAAAGCTTCTGAACCTTTTGTCACGCAGATCCGTAGCCATGCCAGTGCTTCCGCTTATCTGGATATACCTAAGGATCTTAAGTCCCTATGTAGGTGTGGTTGGTTTTCGGTTCTGGCTCTGAGATTTGCAGATGGCAGTCGGCTCTCTTTTTGGGAGGGCATTCAATGTCAGCCTAGTGAGCATCAGACATCGGATGTGATCGCGAGTTGAAAGCTGGTGAAGCAGTTGAACAGCCTTTACCTTTATCCCCTGAGGCCTTCATCTACGGCTTGGATGTCATGCCGGATACTGGGCAGAGTTTGGGGAGTAGCGGGTAGCCCGGTGATAACCGGACAGCGAGACAAGCATTTTGTCTGACAGAGTTGGGGGGCCAAGGATGCCATGGTGCGCGGTGAGGTGCCGTTTCTGGTGCTTCAGGGGCTTCAAAGGGTGAGGGGCTCCAAGAAGCTGGGAGCTTTTCGAGCCTCCGTCAGTCTGTCCCAGTGGGTGAGTGAAATCTCAGCTTTCTAAGCTCTGCAAGGCCCGGATCCGGACTGCACTGGCAGACTCGGCGAACGAGGGGCACGTGGCCACCGCAACCAGGCTGGAGCATCTCCGAGGCGAATGCTGTGGCATTCCAAGCCGAACTCATTTCAGAAACAAAGCATTGCAAAACAAGTTGGCCGTACAAGGGAGCCAGGCACGGTGGACAAGCCGAAGTTCAGGTCAAACATGTCGTGAGTTCAAAGTGTTTGACAAACTTCGCCAGCTACAGAAGCAAGGACGACACACGGAGGAGACAATCCTGAAGCACGTAGTTCCAGAAGTACCTTGCAAATCTTGCGAGTCAACATGAAAGGTTGGCATTTAAAAAATTGTGTCTCGTTGCCTTCTTGAAACGGCTACGGTTTAAAAGTGCATCTGTCCACCATCGTTGCCTTATTTCTTTGAATATGATTATATCATATCATTTTTCTGTTTATTTCTAGCTTCAGCAATCTTTGACGAAGCTGGAAGTGCACTTGCGTTGGATCTGGGAAAGTTTGCTGCGCAGTCCACTTGCATTCCACTTGGGCCCCGGAGCGGCGATAAGTGCTCATCGCGAGTGCCCAGGTAATGAAGTCCTGGGGGTTTGCCAGCGCTCCTGGCCCTGGCGCACCTCGCGGGGTCTTCGATGTGACCTAGCTGTTCGCAAATGCATGAAGTTGAATGCTTGAGGACCTTGAGTCTGAGTGGCCCGGAAGTCTTCGTCGTAACTTGTGCGATGCCAACATCGCTTGATGGAATTTGTTCGTGAGCCTGTGGCTCATTCACAGAGCATGAACTCGAATGAATGACGTATGGTGAGGGGTTGTGCAAGAGAGCTTGTGTGACTATGTGCAACCGGTACTCACCGCTACTGCAGGGAAACCATGGGAAGCCTTCTCGTTCTCCCCGAATACTTGTGCTACTATTATACCAACGCCGCCACCACGGCTCAGCCACAACAGCTTTTTGCAAGGTTGTGGTGGACGATGGGTTGCACTCACCAGAGGCGCAGATAGCAACGCATTTCGGCAGCATCGCTAGACCAGGGCAGTAAGGGTGACCTAGGTGCATGTGCGAAGCCCCGATGTGTACATCAGGTCCGTGAGTCTTTCTGCTTCGGCCAAGGCTTGGCAGCCTGTGGCCTTGGCTAAAGCGCGGAGGGATTTTTGTCGTTGAGGACAATTTTGTGGAGAGTCGCTGTGTGACGTCGATCTTGAGCATATGGGGTGCCTGGTCTCGGGGGAACGAACTCTGATGGGCAGCAAGGTGTAAGCGACTCAGTTGCCTTTCTTCGCATTGTCGTCTTTGTTAAGGCTAAGTCACACAGTGATGTAGTCGGTAGAATATGGTAGACGACGGAAACGAATCCCACGGTAGTTTGCATGCAGGTCAGCATGTGAGAGAGAGAGAGAGAGAGAAAGCGGATGTCTGCGCCCATCGGAGTTAGAGGACATCAACGATGGCAAGCCCATGTTGCAGCGAGCATCTGCTGCCATCGAAGGCCAGCTTGCCATGCCATGGACCGTAGAAGCTTGAAGCGCGTTGCAGAAGCGGAGAGACGAACAATTGCCTCAACTCTTTGCAGCCTCCATTAAACTCCCTTTCTGCGGATGTTCTGTGCAGGCATTGTCGGCAAGGCTCCCTATTTCTTCGTGGACAATTTCTTGATGCCAGCCTGATTCATCATGTTCTCGAAGGCATGCGGAACAATGTCGTTCACGTCTCCCAGGCCATGAAGCTTGTGACAGGCAGTCTCGTCCGCCAAGTCGCGTGTGAGGCCTTCAGGTGTTGCTAGAATCCCGACCAGAACACACGACTACGGCCTCGAATTGAGTAGAATTCCCAAGCAATCCCATTTGGGGCATCAGGGCTGGCAATGGCTAGGCAAAGCCCAGCATCATCGAAGCCAACAGTGACCGAATCGCCAAGTCCTCCTAGGAACCAAAGCTCCGGACGGCTGCGACATGGCAGCGGATTGCTGATCCTGCGCAAGCCTTGAGTGAAAAAGCTGCGCATATTTTCTGCCGAGTATGCACGTTTGTGCACCAATCCAGGTTTGTGCACACTTAAGTAAGCGAGCAAGTGTGGCAGTGAGTGAGTGTTCATGTGAGCGTGTCAGTCAGTCCCTCTCTCCCTCTGTCTCTCTCTCTCTCTCTCTCTCTCTCTCTCTCTCTGAATCCAACCGCTGCTGGCCTGTCTTCACTTCGATTTGATGATCTGAGATACTTGTAAACTTGGGGGTGTGGCGCTTGCCCTCTGGGATCTAGTCGAACTGCCTTGGATTTTTCAGTTGTCCGGCTGCCGGCGGCGCGGTTTAGATGGTTCAGGTTTCAGGCTGTTCCCTCGCTTTCAGGCCACCTCTGCTTCGAGAAGCTGTAGCTAAGCCACTTTGGAGCTCGGATGCTGTCTCAGCCCAGGCAGCGAGAGCCAGCCCCTCACTGCCCAGAGGCTGCAAAAAGCAGGCATGCCCAACAGAGAGTACTGTAGGGTGCGACACTGTACGGGTCCTTCGCAACTGAGAGACTTAAGGACTTAAGAGATGCTCTCATATGCTCCCATGTCAAAATCACAGTCTGCAAGCACAAATGGTTTCACTTGATCCGAGACTGAGCTGACAATTTGGGGCCAGGGTAGCTACGGCCACGGCTTCGTTCTGGCACAAAAAATCATGTTTACGCACGAAGAAGGCAACCTCAAAAGCCCCAGGCTTCCACGTTATCCACGCTTCCCGTCGCAGGCGCGGGTGGTGCGACCCAGGACAAGTGGGAGGCGCATCCTTTCCTCAAGGCTGTTAAACCTTTCCCACAGCTTTTCATCACACTTTTGCTGCCTACGATGGAGCTGTTCAAGATAGTACTGTTAAATCTGAAGTGGGATTCAGCACCCTCAGGCCATGGCGCAAGAACTAAGCTGCTTAGATGACGACGACGCCCCCATGTTGCCGGGGCCCTAATCAACGTTCAGACCGTGCGTGTGTGTTGACTTGACATGACACGTGTAGCAGGTGTATGTACGTATCATGTGACTTGTGCATCTGCCTGGCTCTGAGGCCACTAGGCCCGCTTGCACAGCAGCAGGGCAAGCGTGGCCTGCCAAACCGGAGGCCGCAATGATGCCTTCTGCACTTCATATGTGTTGTATCGGCCTAGGGAGCTACGTTAGAGGCGAGGGTCAATCCAAGTTGCTGTCGGCAGAGTCGCAGAGCATCTTCTGGGCTTCTGCCAGCCCTGTATCCTCCAAGCTGTCGGCCGGATTCAGTGCAAAGCGATCCGCTCTTTAGTCGGGAACTTCCCATCACGTCGATGAACAGAGCGTGCAACCGCCCAGCCGACTCAGCATGAACTCGTCCCGTGCACTCGCCTGATGCTGGTTGGAATGCACGAGCGCAGCTGAAGTGAAAGCATTTGGACAAATTCTGGCTGTTGAGCAATTGAGTCGATTGGTGACACCGGAGTGACTCAGTGGCTCTCCTTTCTGAACCGCAGGAGTCGCGTGGAGGGCCGTGCTCGGAGCCACAGCCGAAGTCAAGGTCTTAGTTGAGCCTGCATCGAACGGATTCTATAGTCTGAGCAGCATCTGTCAGACTTTTCAGTTCAGGGTGGCTGCGTGGCGCTGTGAAGCTTTTGATTGGACCGAGCCGAGGCCATGTCAGCAGCTCCAATAGCTCAGCCCTGAGAGATGACAGCGAGGGTAGGAAGGGGCTTTTCTTGGAAGATTTCTGATAACATGACGCAGAGCCGAAAGTGAGAGAGACTTGGCCGAGAAGCTACTGAACGTCTGTCATTACTCAATTACGACTGTCAACATTTCTGAGTATCCGCCAGTGGTGGTGGCACGTGTCGAAATTCGCAGTGACGGTTCCTTTCTCGCGGTACCCAGTACCCACTGTGACTGTTCCACCCGATGCCTGACATCCAGAGGTCGAGGGAGCGGCCGCAGCGTGCAAAGCGCACCAAGTGAGTCGCCAATGCGTGGCACGAAGAGCTCTGCATCCGGCATGGTCAGTCGGGTGTAGAAGAGTCCGCGATCGTCAACAGAGAGGGCTCCAAGGTCGGGTTAGCACGACCACACCAGGAGCCAGAAGCCGCTCGAGATCGCTCGAGCAGGTCTCAAAGGTGCTCAAAGGCGAAGCCTGCTGCAATCGCACATTTGCTGATCCGACATAAGTTGTGTTGGCTTTGCTTAGTGCAAGCATACGACTGTCTGTGATGTACTACTGGGTACTGCATCCAGGCAGGCGAGTATCGTTGTCAAGCTCCAAGGCGGAGGCATAGGTCCAGAGGAGCAACAGAGGAAGAGCCTGAAGTGCAGTTAGAAGCTCCTTCGGCAAGTAGTTGCCATGACCTGCATTGCCATGCTTTTATGGCCAGCTAAGCCAGCTAAGCAAGACGGGCTGTTGGGAGGATTGCATGGTACACGCAAATGCTTTTTTCAATTGCGAATTCTCGGCGGTTTTCTTCCGTGATTAGGATGTTTCAAGGACCAAGGACTGCTCGCGAAAGCTGAATTCATGCACCGGTCCGATTGCTGACTACCTCTCAAGCCCAGGGTAGTTGAAGCATTTTTGAAAATAGATTGCACATGTCTGACATTCCACCTGTCCTGAAAATTCTTCCGCATGTAACCTGAATTTCTTCCACCTAGATTCACGGAACAGCGTCTGAAGACCCTTGTTCAATGCCTTCAGCACGTACCCTGCTGTTGCATTTGGAACAGCGCGAGCCATGCCTGGCCCCCGGTGCAAAGCGCTGCTGAGGAGCCTGGAGGGTGAGGCGGAGTCGCGGTGTGTGCGGTTTGAAGGGCCCGGGCTCGGGCCGTGTTGAGAGAAGGTTGATGTAGAGCGTCCTTGAGCTTAGGGCCTTGGCTTGTACCGGATCCAACTGCGAAATTGGCAGTGCCTCCTTCCACGCCAGACTATGCCGACCATGAATGTTACCTGGTGGCTGGCCTCAGGCCGACCGTTGCGAGCCGACGGAAGGTGATATTGAATGCAGCTTTCCCAAAACAGTGCGAACACAGTATCTGACAAGGCGAAGTCTATGGCAGTCTATGGAGACAGTAAACATATGCAGTGGGCCGCCTTGGGCGCATCTCCGAAGTTTTCAAGCTAAACGATCTTCCGCATCGCCTGCTTGCGCAAAGACAGGGTTTCGCTTCTGAAAGCTCGTTTGCTCATCCCAAGACCCGTGAGAACAAGGAGTAGCGGCTGAGTAGTGCCTTCACAAAAAAGGCTCCCCGCAAGATCAAATTCGTGCCGTTTGTGATGAGCCAAGGTTGCATCAAAGCCGTTGTGGATGGGATTGAAGGCTCAATCCGCCAATCGTAGACTAGTGAAGTGGGTGCTGTGGAATCGAACGGGGGCGGGAGCATCCTTTCGCCATGGAGTCACGTCATCTATGGCTGATCCGCAGTTGTGCCCATTGGATGGATCCAGAAAGCCTTTCTCGCTTGGCTTTGGCAGCCAAGCAGCTACAACAAGCAGATGAGGAGGAGCATTGGAGGACTTTAGCTTCACACTTGGTGCTGCGGCCGCTTCACCTTGACACTGAAGTTCAGCCTTTCAGCAAAGTTTGTGCCACAAGTCCTTCACCGAAGGATGCAGAGGATATCCAGGATGCCGAGGATGCAACCCTGAAGATCAAGATCTTGCAGGTGTACTATCCTGTGTTCCAGGTGAGGAACCGTGTTCGCAAACTTTGGAAGAGCATCAAGTCCCTGTGGGAAACAGTGCTTCCTGAAGCCTTGGATAGCTTGCTACCAGGGCTCACAGAACAGGAAATTGAAGAACTTGAAGAGCGCTTGGGTTGCCAATTTCCAGAGGATCTTGCAGAGAGCTTGAGAGTGCATGAAGGTATGAGAGAATCGGGGCACAGAAAAGGACAATTCCTGCTAGAGTTGGTTCGAGAAGACATTTACACCCTTTCCACTGTTTGCCTGCGTGCTGCTCGAGACTTACCTAACCTTGTCGAGGATGCGGAGAGCAGCGCGAGAAAAATTCCCAGAGCTCATTCACTCACAAGCTTTCAGCCATTCGCCCGCCGCAGTGACGTTTCCTTGACTGCCATTGCCTACGTGGCGGAAAACAGCCACCGCCACAGCCACTGGTTGCCGCTTTTTGAAAGCGATTGTCTTTCTCCGAATCGTGAACCACAATCTCAAAATGTTCTTATAGCCTTTCCTCACCGCGGTCGGGTGACATTGCTGGAGTCATTGGGCCAGCATGAGCAGCGTCCCAGACGTCGGCGTTCATATTTCGGCGGCTCCGTGCAGGATTTGCATCCTTCAGGAGCCGTTGGCTTTTTGAAGATCTACTACCGTGATGGTCCTACCTGGTATGGTCATGCTACCTGCTTCGAGGACTTTCTGCGGGAGAGCCTCGAGGTGTTGGAGGCCATCCAGACTGCGTGGTCCAAGCCATGTTCTGGCTGCGACGCAGATTGGCTTGGTTGGCACTGTCCCCAGTGCAAACGAGTTGTCGGAGAATCCTTTAGCCAAGCCTTGGACCGTGTCCTTCCAGTGGTTGCAAGGCCCAGTGAACCTCTTCCCAGTCAGCGCACCTTCAACCGCTACTCTTGGTGGGCATCCGTAGTGAGGTCCTGCAGATGGGACCAGCCCTTTGTGGCAAAACGCGTAGAGTCACTTGATGCACCTTTCATGGATTGAGTATGATTGAATGGTCAGCGATGAATGGCCAATGGCCTGTGTGGCCAGGAATGCCAGGAGACGTTGCATGTTGTACAGATGTATTGAAACGTGTTGGACATCTTGCAGATTGGCGATTTACAGCATGTGTACGCATGTGTGACATGTGTTCCCCTGTATAGCTGCTTGTGCTGACGTCAATATTGGGCAGTTTGCTGCGGCACATGGAGCAAAAAGAAAACTGGCAGTGCTGTCCAAAACATGCTCTCTAAACTGCAGCGGTTGATCAGCGTTCCCTTAGTAGCTGTTTCACAGCTTCCCGGATTCCCTGAGCCGAGGCATTGACCCTGCCCCCAA